CTATTTCATTTAATAAATGTTTTTTTTTTATATGTACAAGTTGTTCGGGTTTTTTCATCTAAAAAGAAGCAACATTAATTTCTTGACAACCTAATATATTACATTATATATATATATATGTGTGTGTGTGTGTTGTACGTTGTCATAACGAAAATATATATTAACTTGAGATAAATACGATTGTATGTGTAAATGTATTTGTTGTTTATCAATACTGATAGTATTTTTTGTTTTAAAGACTACAGTTCAGTCAGAGATTGAGGAGAGACCTGAAGTATTTTCTAATACAGGAAGGCGTGATAATACAGGGTGGTGTGGTAATCGTAGTGATAATTATCAGTTCTACAGGGGTGGAAGAGGAAATTTCTTAAACAGGGGTCGTGGTCAACAGAATCGACAGAACAACCGAGGCTCTGGAGGACCTCAACAAGGCAATTATAGCAGTCAAGGAGGGCCTCTAAGGACTGAAGGAAGACCTTACACTTCTCAACCCCCTCGTAACAGGGATAGATTTTACAAACCTTACAGGCATTTCTCAGATAAGCAGAGCTCTGGTGAACCTAGAAATGAAACTGTGGATAATGGAAAGCCAAATCCATCGTATGGATCCGGATTGATCAATGGAACAACGGAACATCATCACTAATTAAAATATTCCATTCCTCTGTAGTACCCCAATTTTAGTTTATTTCCTATTATTTTTGTCTTTATTTAGTTTGTTTTATTTGGTTTATTCAGTTAAATTATAATAAAATTTGAATTATTTGTTATGTTAGAAATGGGTTTGTTTCACAGTATACTTGGCAGTAGTTTTAATGGCCACATATTGATATAATTAAGTACTTTTTAAAAATACACTCATGGCAAACTAGTAAAAAATAGAATTATTCAATGAATGTCATTCCACAAGACATGAGGATAAAAACTTGGATAAATGGTAATAAAGAATTAAACTTTCACATCTAAATGAAAACCTTTTTCCATTTTTATTTCAAGCAATGTTTCAAGTAGATGCCCATCATCAGGCAATATTACAATGGAATTAGTCTTTACTCTCTGATGAAGGGTGTCTGCCCAAAATCAAAATAGAAAAAGTTTTCATATGGACATGTCAATCTATTCTTTATCTTTCATAGATTGTTTAGGCTGAGTATTCGTGATGAAATTTAGTTGAATGGATAGCAAATGCCTGTTGTAGAAACTCAAGTGTAGAGGACTACTTTTTCAAAGACAAGAGGCAGAAGACTTTCAAAACGTTGTTTATTCTTTTATCTTTTTTCAAAAAAAAAAACAAGGCCTGCAATTTGCATTGTTAGTCCAATAGTTGTAGCTTCTAGTCTGTATATTTTTCAGCTTAAACATTGAAACTAATACTATAGGGAGTTCCCTGAGAAAAACCTTGTTTTATTAGAATTGGTTTTCATAACTTTTAATTATGATTCCAAGCTGGTTGGTTCTATCATGACTAGCAAACACCATAAACAATTATTTTAGTTAAAAAACAATAATTTTGAAACAAATATTGTATGGTATTTTTAGTTCCATTGTTGTGATATTTTGTACTTTCTTTTAGTGAAATAATTTTTGCTGTCCATGTTTTTAAGTGCATCATTTATAGTTTCTATATATGTGTGATTACTTTATAAAAGGTAATTTGTGTAAAATTAAACATAATAGTCCAAAAAACGTCACTTATACACTGTTTATATAACTTCTGAAACTTGTTTAATTTGTTAAAGTTGCTGCATAATATATATATAATTGTTAAAAATGTCTTGACCTTGTTAACCTATATAGTAACTAACCACAGTTGAAAATCGTAGGTTGATTTGGCATGGTATATTTTAACAATATTTATTATTTTACAATTTTCATCTTAGACTACAAACTTACTGTGAGAAACAGATGACTGAAACTCCTTCCTAAACAACCATGAATAACATCACTGCTGTCAATAGAATATGATTATCAACTCTATATGTTTACTTACTGATAGCCATACGTGAAAAACCAATAATTTTGATAAATATATCTTATAATTTAATAAAAACACTACTTTTTCCATGGCATAATTTTTCACAAAAAATGTATTCCTGTGCTCTTCAGATACTTTTTTTTTTATTCTCTAAGCTTCTAATAAACTATTATGACCATGTTACATCAAATTGATTAAAGACAGTTATTGGCAGTATTCTATAAAAAACAATAACACTGAAGATGATTAATATATATGTTTGGCCATAGAAGATAAATTCTAATCTGATCCCTTGAGATTTCTGAAACTAGAGTCACATTTTAAGTTATTCACAGATATACAAAGTACCATCTTGTGTAAGATAATAGTTTATTCATATTATTTTTTAATAATATATATAATAATTTTACTTTTCTTATGCTCAGTGTCTTTTGGATTTTTTAAAGTGTCAAAAAATGAAAGCTCCTTTGTTGTCATTCTAGAAAGTTACAGCATGAGGTTTAAAGATATTTTATTAATTTCTTGCTACATTATAATAAGCTTATGGTTGCTAACAAAGAATAGGGTGTAGCATCAACTGTCCTATTCTGGACTTATTTTCGAAAGGGAACAATTTTCGGGAGCTTTTTTTTTTTCATTATGGTTATTAATGCTCAATGAATATGACTGTGTTAAAAAAAAATAACAGTAAATTTGAGCAATTGTATGAGATAAAACGGGCAGCTTACAAAACATAATATGATTATTTATTCTTTTACTGACTGCAATTTTTTCATCATAAAGAGAATATACATGAGTAAAAACAAAACTTTGTCTCTTGGGAAACTCCTTCGTATGAACATAGTTTCAATAGAACACACATGTGTTTAAGGGTGTGAGAAACTTGTTTTTGATATGGTTTGTAGATCATATAAATTGTTTGTAATGTTACACTGATTATCATTATTAAGAAACTACACTATTTATGAAAATCAACAGCTATTATGTAAAGATATTCATTGCAACCTTCTGCTACTGTTTATTGTTTTCTTTTTGAATATTTAGATATTATTTCTATGGTGCTAAGTTAGGTTAATAGATCATTGGAAAAATTTTATTTAAAGAAGATATTTATTAGTTGAGAAATATATTTCAATTATCTGTTTTTTAATGTAACATTTGTATGTTAATTTTTGGGTTTATAGGCAGCAAAGTATAAGCCAGAATTAAATAATATAAAAATATTATGACTTATGCTTTTACGTAATGAGATTATGCTGTATAAACTTTTTTTACTAGAATTATTGAAAACCTGTTTTCTATATGACTTCAGTCAACCAAAAATTAATGCTGGTGATTGGTTAAATCATAATTTGTACTTTTTTTTTTTTTCAAATGTTGTTATTTGGTTGTAAAGAAGGGCTTTGCATAAAATTGTTGTAAAAATATTAATTTTCTTAAGTTAAATCTGGATAGAGATTGATATTAGCTAAATGTTGAAACTCAGTTTAAAAATAATCTAGTAAAGTAAAAAAAAAAAATTTTTATTTTTAGACACAGCATTTTATAACCATTCATTTGGCTTTGATATTAAGAAGTTTCCATGGTGATTTATTTTATTACATCATAAACTTAATAAGTAAACTGCTTTTGATTTAAAACTATATAACTTCCCACATTATTTACTGTTAGATCTTTTAATTTATTTTGGGATATTAATATTTTATGTAAAGAAAGGGTGAAAATATATGTCTTCAGTTATTTCTTGGGTATGGGGTGGCCTCTCTGGTAGAGCTCTGGACTGCTGAGCTGGCAAACTGATTACAAATCTTTGTGATACCACAAAATACTCCCCACACTTTAAACTATGGGTGTATTATAAGAGTGAAAGTCAATCCCTTAGCATGGATAGTAGAGTGCTGGTGACTGGCTGTTTTTCCTCTGGTCGGTAGTTCAGAGTAAATAGTCCTAGTAGGTTTATCATAAATACAAAATTTATTGTATTTCCAGTCCTAGCGAATAAAGTAAATAAGTCATGCAAAATACATATAGCTTAATTTTTGAAAGTTTTTATCATATTAGTTAATATATGTGAAAAATAGTTTGAATGGTTTTAATATAGTTCTTAAAACAAGTTCTGCATTTAGTTTCTTTTTTAATTATGGCTTACTCAAATGCTTATAACATTAATTTATGTAAATCAGCATTTTTTAAAATGATATATCACAGTTATATGTTAATTCTCCTTATTTTTGTATTTTGTCTTTATGTAATCTTTGCTTTTTCGTGTTGTTGCACAATAGTAGAAAATGTTATGTGCTCACACAAAATATATTGCCATTTTCACTTTTATTAAAACGATAAGTAGTCATTTTCTGAACTCTTGTTCATTTTTTATTTAATTTTTATTTTAAAGTAAAAATGTGCCTTATTTGAAACTCATTTTCTAAGCTTTTTATTTTGAATGAGATTTTATTAATGGTTTTATGTTAGCATTAAAAGAACAAAATGATAAAGTAATTGTACACCTCTATATTTAGGTGCCTTTCTTTATGTAGGGTATAAAATTTGGGTAACATGTAACTTAGATACTAAGAAAATGTCAAACTAAACTGCCCATACATTACAATGATTTGTGTACTCCTTGTCATGCTGGATTTTGATAGGAGTTTGATGGATACATTATTGTATAACTCAAATATAGATTTATTGAAACATTATACTCTGTAATTATATATAGCTATTGATGTTATGTTACATATATATTGATTTTGACAAATATTTTGTATGATACTCTAGTTAATTTTTTTTATTATTCTCAAATGTCTTGATTATTATTTTTTAACTCTCAGCAATAAGTTAATAACAAAACTTAATGATGGAGGGTGCAAACTTTGAAGTTGTTGTACTTATACCATGTAAACTTGTAATATATTCCTTATATATTTTTGTATGATAATGTAAGAAAATTAAACAGTATAATAAAAAGGAATTAATAAACAGTGCTGAAAAAATTGAGATTAAAAGAAAACTACACTGTAGTAGTAGTAGTAGTGGAATTAGATAGACCTGGTATAATTGTTTTTCTTGATTATTAAAAAGAGGGACCACGTTGTGGCATTTGCATCATACAAAATTTGTCAACTGTTTCTTTTGAGGGAACACAAGTGTTTGTTTTTTTTCACATATTTTACTGATATTTGATAAAGCAAGATGGTTAAACTGAGTATAAATGTTTGTGTGAATAAATTCCTATTTTACATCATTCCTGAAATGTTGTATGTAATTTCTTTGGCATTAAAAACTGGACTAGGGAAGGAGCTAGTATTCAGGAAAGTAAACATTAAATTACATTTTTACAGCAAACTTAAAAATTTTTAATGCCTCTTCAGCAGGTTAGGCATGTATTTGTGATTAACCTACCAGATTGAATGAGGTTGAGCCGTGATGTCACCAAGCATGTTTCACGCCTACAATTGTAGGAGTTTAGTCCATGTTTGCATAAAATGTTATTTCAGTTGAAACTTAACCTTTTAGACAAAATACCTTTACAAAACACAGTAAAGTAGTGTATTCTTATATGTGCCCTATTTATGCTAAACTTTATATTGGGTCAACAGACTCGCATGACACCCATGATGACTGGACATAATGTGTAACAAAGTGTAAAACAATCATTATTTATTTTGTAAAACAAAGTTCACTTGATGATAAATAGTACTTTCAATAGAGATTAACTGGCTTTTGACTCAAGTGCTGTTAGAGACCAATAGAGTATAGCATTATATCCACTACCCATGTCACTGATGGTCATACCAAAAACAAAAATAAAGAAGATATGCATCATCTAATGCATCATCTAACTCTCCAACAGAAAAAAGATTGCTGTCCACCTTTACATAATATGTTCTACTTTACAACAGTCTTTCTCTTGAGATAATACAAGTGACACTATAGGGAAATCATCCAGAATGATAAGTAATCAATGTGATAATACAAGTGACACTATAGGGAAATCATCCAGAATGATAAGTAATCAATGTGATAATGTGTTCTACTTTACAACAGTCTTTCTCTTGAGATAATACAAGTGACACTATAGGGAAATCATCCAGAATGATAAGTAATCAATGTGATAATGTGTTCTACTTTACAACAGTCCTTCTCTTGAGATAATACAAGTGACACTATAGGGAAATCATCCAGAATGATAAGTAATCAACGTGAAAAGAACTTAACCACATTTCTTGACCACTGACATTCTATTGTTAAAACTGCACAAACATGTGTGTGAAAACTTTTCAAAGTTCCTCACTGAACATCATTTATTCACCTGACTAACCAAATAAAATACTAAATATATATTTATATACCATAGTAATGTTCCAAGTATCTCATCCTTCCATCTCTTATTTTCAGATTGTTTTTAATCTTAAATCCAATAAAATAAACAATTTAAATCAGCCACATTCCTGAAATCAACTTATTTCTTGCTCCTGACAAAACACACAATGCAGGAGAGACAAGATTGGTCGGTAAAACTATTGAATAAAGTAAATGTTACATTAATAAAAATCAAAGTTAAGACTATAGTACTGTACAATAAAATAGCCTTTTAATATTAAAAATGGCTAAATGTTAAAAATAATACAAGAAAGTAATGCCCTTACTTTAACAAAAGTGTAAACCTTTGAATACATGATGAGTTATGACAGGTCAGTAACCTATTAGAATGAAGCTGCCATTCTTGAAATAGGTGCACCATTGAGAAGTCTCCCTCACACAAGTCCTTATGCTAATAATCCCTGCTTGTAACCGATAACTAGGAATTTCTGCATTGTTTCCATCACCTAGTAACAGTGTGGCAAAGTGTCTTCTCCACTTGATGATATGTTAACTCACCCAATACGTGTGGCACAATCTGTTACTATTGTTAGTGTTATAGCTTGCAGATATAAGTTGTTTTCGCTATTAATCCCATATCCAAAGATTTATCTGTCCCAATATTGCATATAAATTATAATTAGGTTCCAGGTGGTTAAACTGACAGATTACTCTCTGTCTCAGAGTAATACTAAAACTAAAGTAAGATAACTCTAATACAAGTGATAATTCTGTACTTGTGCTTAAAATGCAAATCACAGTAACTATGATATAATTAAAACTAAACACTAGAGTTATAACCTACATGTAGTGACACTCTACTAAGCCTATAATGATGAATACTAAAAGTAGGAAAACAAAGCACAAACTGTGTACTTAAAACTAAACTTGATAACCTGTACTAAACCATAATTGGTAACTCTGCAATGTACTTAAACTAAACACATAGCAAATTGTGCCTATACTTATAAATTAGTGGTGTTAACAGTGTAATTAAACTTACATCTGATATCATATGGTAAGTCAGTACTTATCAAACAGGGTTTATATGCTTTAGAAGCTTGTATATATAACAAAAAAGTTATTATTTTTTCTTTAAGACTGACAACCTCTTCCTCTAATGTATTCAATGTTTACTTACTCTCCTCAACTTGTAACCAATTAAAACTTTTTTGAGTAATGTAATGTTTTTCCTGTGTATCATTCAGTTACACATTGACATAGTGAAAATACAAATTTGATTCGAGTACGTGTCGGGGTTTTTAACAGAAACATACCTTACAAGTACTATGAATTAACAGTATGATAAAGATAACAACAATATCGGATTCAACATACTGCACAATTTAATGATTTTCTTTTTTTCTCATTTTTCATAAATCAAATTAATTTCTCTGTTATGCATAAAAATTAAAATATATAAACAACTAGTTTTTGTCAGTTATTTGTATTATTATTTATACTAATTAAGTAATTATATTTAAGTTATAGCATTAGGACTACAAGTTAACAATAATTGTAGATTTTTCTAAAAATAGCTTCAATGATTAAACCATTTGAAAATCATCTTTTCTTCAGAAACAGTATTTGTCGTTTTAATAATTCGAAAAGTATATTTTATAATTAAATTTAAAAAGTTTCATGAATTTCACAAGCTACATAAATTTACTCTTAGGCTCTCTGACCTTCCTGTACTCTACGATAAGTGAGCGATAAAACTGTACAAATATTATGCGCACTATTTGTTTTCGCGCCTTTTTATCTATTAATCGACGGCTGACTTCAATGCTTATGGTGAATTAGAATAAGGGTAAGCACTAGGCTGTCAAGTGACGCCATTTTAGTTTGTGCGATTGGAGATATTTACTTTTATCGATTTGACGTCGAAACGAAAATATTATTTGTTTTTCGTGTGGTAGAGAACGAAACTACTTTACATCCAGCAAAAAGGTATATATAAGTTAAAGAGGTTAAATTAATTTTGTGTAATTACACTACTTTTTGAATTAGCACCTTAGCTTATAAGTAGGCTTAACCATAAACATTCGTGAAATTAGGCGTAACATTATCTTTGTGTATCACACAGACAGCCGCTTGTAAGGTGCATCGAGTAGTAATATTAGTTGATTGCACACGTTAACTATGTGTTTCATATAACTTATCATCAAGCCTAACAGCAACATTGTAAGTCGAACAATAGTCATTTTATTCTTGTAGTGTCGCGATTGGGCCTATCGCCTCATTTCAATCGTTTTCAACTTTACGTCTTTAGTTTCACTTTCAGTGAAATTTAAACCCGTTTTAATATTTTCTTATGATATTGAAATTGAATATAATTTGTATTGTAAAGCATTACTTCCAAGTTCCATTCCAATACTCAGTAACATAATGAGTAAAGAAATGTATTAAATCTTTTTACCATAAAAGTTTTTCACTTTCACTTAAGATTTGTTTAAATTTCTTCCATATTAATTTTGGATAATTAATGTAACGTGCATTTTTGAAATGCCGATGTTTATAAATATTATTGCTATATATATAAGTAGTAGTAATACTACTACTAATTGTAGGACAATAGGGGGTATTTCAGACCACTTTAACAGAAAATTGCATTTTTACTCAAGAAAATTATAATTTAAGATAACTTACTTAATTTTAAATATCTTATTAATATCTGATATTTTTTGCATAAATAATAAGCTTATTGTAGGTTAATAAGTACCATAACTTAAGAAATGTTAGTTTATCATCCTTTTTATCTGAAAAATATGAGGAAGAGCTTTTTCTATATTTATAAACCCTCTGTCATGAATATCTCGCATAGCTCTACTCATAAATTTGATATATCAGACCAGATTTGTGTGACAGTCCATTGCAAAGACAACTTCTTTCACTATATCAATATATATATATGTATATATACTAAAATTAATTCAAAAAAGTGCATTTCAAACATAAATATAAATTTGGCTATGTTTTGATGATAAAACAAAAGGTCTGTAACACCCAAATTTCAGTATTAAATATTAAGCCATCTGGCATGTCTCTTACATAATGGAGATCTTGAAGCAATATATGAAAATAAGCTGTAACAGTACTGTATTAATGGAACTACACAAGATTTACATAAAATTACTTGTGAAAATGAAGTGTAAAGTTTGTTGTAAACTAGAAATACAGAACGTACTACTGTATATGTTTTGCAGTGTACACAGCTTGCATCACAATAAAAGATATGGTGTAGATGATAGATATTAAATACATACTTGTGCTGATAGAGGAACTGTAATGGATCACAGGCAAAAGTTGTGTGCTGATGATATTTAGAGTGATTTTATTCAGTTTCTCTGGTTTATAGAATGAGATCAGAATTAAAGCCAGCAAATTGCTAGTTAGTGTTTCAGTTTTGCCAAAACATTGCTAGTATGCATTTCACAAGGAAGATTTGTAGATTCTTACTATTGTGTATTAATATACCTGTAATAGATGCATTTCACTAATTCATATTTGAGGATTCTGAGTACTGATGGTTTCTGTAATTGCATTTACCAAGATTGGTTCACTGTTGGTGCCATGTTGATTTTGCGATCTCTAATTGAAGTACATGGCATACCTAGACTAAGTATAAATGTGGATATTGAGATTGTAGCTTCAACTGATATGCTTAGTTGCCCAGACAATTAGGATGTAGTTAGCCAGTTAGATTCACATCATCTGGTCTTTCAGTGCAGTTTTGCTAGAAGCATGGTTAGAAATGATGTATCTTAGTGGTTACTCATTGAAGGTAATTATAACATAGAAATTATGTGAACTGGATATGATTTTTTTCACATAATTAACACAAATGTTAGGTCTCTTGGCTTCTAGTTTTTG